AACGTTTCGCTTCTTTACAGATTTTCTATAAAAAAGAAGAGAACCAGAAAAAAATTACAATTCACAGACTTAAAATTACAAAATTACGAATTTATATAAAGCGGGAATTCTTTTTTTGTAACTTTGTCACGCTGCTCGACCGAGTACGTGTCGTTGTCAATCAAAAGATGTCTTCCTCGTACACCACTCACTCCCTCTTCACGAAACGTTTCGTTTCTTTACAGATTTTCTATAAAGAAGAAGAGAACCAGAAAAAAATTACAATCCACAGACTTAAAATTGCAAAGTTACGAATTTATATAAAGTGGGAATTCTTTTTTCGTAACTTTGTCACGCTGCTCGACCGAGTACGCGTCGGTGTCAATCAAAAGACGTCTTCCTCTTCACGAGATGCACCATTCACCTCCTCTTCACGAAATGTTTCGCTTTTCGCCGACGACGTCACGTAGCCGGGAATGTTTCACGTGACAATTGCCACGAGAAGGACAGAAGCGTTTCGCATTCGAGGCGTGCACGCGGCATTTTTATCAAACTCGCGAGGATGTCCTGTCCGCGAGATAAGCGGGGAATTACGTATGTGGTACGTGTGGCTCGGTGCAAATCACGGATAGCTATCGATCTGCCGGTTCACTCGACAGTCGCATCCTTCCCTCTTGACTGGATACTTCTCATACATGACTCTCTCGCGTGAAAGAGAAAGAGAAAGAGAGAGAGAGAGAGAGAGACTCTGCTACTTTCGTTTGTCACGCGGTTTCGGCGCTAGTCTGCCAAAGTGACGTTCCACGTCGCTGGCTCGACGTGGATTGAAAAAGAATTCCGATCTTTCCGATGGAAAAGGGAGATCGTTTCCTGTTCGTATCGGGGACGAAAATAGATCAGAATGTTTATTCGCCACGTGTCAGATTTTTCATATCTTCGCAACGTGAAATGTCCATTCTCGGTGTGACTTTTTCCCCTGCTCGTTGAGGCAAGCTTATTAACCCGGTAATGGTATTATTAGCATCGTGCATCATCCTAGCAGAATTTCGCGAGTAATCAAATTCTGTCAGTGACAAATTTAATGCGACGAAGAGGGACTTTATCGAGATAAGCTCGTTAATCCGGTATTGGCTAATTATTAGGGCCATGCATGCAGAATTTGTCATAGAAATATATTAAAAAAAAAAAAGAAAGAAGCTTTAATCGATCGAAACTGAATATATTTTGGATCGTGACGATTCGTGGAAATTGGAATCGCTCACGTCGATGAAATTTATTTACATATAATCTACTGATTAATGAACAATTCGCGCGAAATCAGTCGCGTTCATTATCTGTCAACCAGATAATGTTAAAATGGTCGTAATTCGGCGAGTGGCGAGCATTTGCATCGACAGGTTCATTTTTCCCTCGAAATTACCATCTTCCGTTCGTGCGAGCGGATGGTTTATTAATTATCGATAAACGGGTCAAAACAGAATTTACTCTCTCTCTCTCTCTCTCATTGTCACTCTCTCACTGCCTGTGCGAGTAAATTCTTATTTTCGTATTTTAGAATAATCCCCTGTCTAATTTTCGCGTCTGAAATTAGCTACGTTCAAGAGCGACAATATCGACAAACTTTCAAACTCGATTTTTCTCGAGAACGAGGGCACGAATTTTATTCTTTCCTTCACACTCATTTCTCCACGCGGAATTATCTTTCAGCGGTTACGAGACGCTCTATCGATCTATTCAGCACGTTTCAAAAATCGACGCTGTTAATCAATAACGACAATCTGTCAATCTCGTCTGTCTTTCGAGAACCAGAATTAAAATTAAAATTACCAAAGTGGTCAAAATTATCAATTTATAATTTTTGTTCAGACATTTCACAGGCGTAAAACAGTGTATTTCTAAAGATTTAGATAACTTTTCGTAAAATATATAAATACAAGCTTGTACACTTTCTATTATTTGTCTTATAAAGTTTCTCTATTCATTGAATTTCAATGTCTCTGATGGAAAATTTTACGATTCAATCGTCGGTAGTTCTAGCGTTAAAATCGACAAGCGATCCGCGCCAGGCAATTGAAACCCGAGAAGTCGAGACGTCCAATAGAAGGGGGGCAAACTCTTCGTTACTCGACGATACGAAACTACATAAATAACTCGACGATAATAAGGAGCGAGAGCTAGCGCTGTGCCCGCTAAATGCTCGTAATAAGAAGCTTAATGGCAACGGCTACTGCAACGACGATAACAATCATCATCATAACCGTAACAGTCATAATAACCGTAATGACCAACGGGACGCGATAATACGTCGACGTCGTAGAATTCAGGGAGGTACGTGGAGATTTGTGGGCTCCGAAATGCGGGACCACATCTACGCGAACGACCATGACTCTCCCCGTCGCAAATCAGTGTTTCATGGAGCGAGCTTAATCCGACGACAGCCGGTTCAACGACTCGTTAACGCGTACATTCTTGCCAATCAGTTTTCTCTCTCGTCGTTCGAGTCAGAGCGGGGGGAATTCAATTATTTCGTTGAGTTTGATTTGAAATTTGACTCGAAATGTTCTTTTAATCACTGACGAAGTGACTTACGGAGGACTGTGCTATGGGGTGAAAGGATATTCCTCTGATTTGGACGTAGTAGGTTTCAAAATTTTCGCTCAACTGTTTTCTTTTTTTCCAATAGTTAGTTGATTAATTGCATTTTCCGAATCTGCGACCTTGCACACCTACTATGTTGATATCTTCATCTTGAACTGTCTCTTGGTAATTTTCAGTCCGGTTTCGGTCTTTCAATTTTTTTTTTTTTGGTTTAATTCGACTTTGCTAATGTAAATTTATTATAGCCTATTTATTGTCGTTTAGTCGAGGCGTTAATAGCCACGGCAATTGTTTTATAACATCAAGTTAGAGGAAATTGAATATTCATCGTACAGGGAAATCAACGGTTCCCTCGTGTCTGTAAGTAACTATCAAACGTGTCGCAGCAAATGACACCGGAACGTCATGCAAAATTCCCTCCATTTCCTCTGTTGGAAATCGGCTACAATTTAGATTTGCTAATTTTCCAACGTTCGAGCAAGCTGAATAAAAGTCAGCAACAGCTGGCTGGCAACGATTTCAACACACATCGCGGATCCCATTCAAACTCGGAAACTATTGAGAGTCACGTAATTTTATCGAGCCGAGGCGACTCTGAGAGGCAGCACTCTGTCCGCGCGTCGCTGAAAGCAATATCGCGACGTAAAGAATGAACGAACGAGACGTCGTCCCGAGGCGAAGTGAGGCGATGATCGATCACCGGTACGGATCGATCGGGCCACGGGTGCCTGGCGTGTATCGCGAGAGGCCGGTCGATCGTTCGATTGTAAGGGACAGCAACGGATCGGCAACCGGGCGAACTTATCTATCCCAGCCAGGACACAGGACAAAGGATAATAAATGGCCGCGGCGGGCTGTTGCTTGAGCATTCGAAAAGGTGGACGCGGCGGCCCGGCGGAGTTGTGCTTTGAGGCTGGCCAACTTTAAATCACACCGGCTGTCACTACGATGTAGATAGCTCGAGCTGGGAGCAGCAGCTCGCTCCATTCTACCATCGAGATGTCTCTATTTCTGTCGATAGGCGACGTGCCGCGCGTCCAGCCAAGTAATATCTGTCCTCGCGAAGCGTCGTCCGAGACGCGTTTACGGATTGAGTAGCAAGACTCGATCGATCGTTAACAATCGGTGGCTGCTTAACTCTCTCTCTCTCTCTCTCTCGCTAAATGAAATTTTCTATGATTCACTTGTGGAAATGACTGCAATTACTGAAGACGGTTGTCTCGGTGTTTGAAAGTTGCACAAATGCTGGTGTACAGGTGAATTTTAACGTTTTTGACGTTAAATGCGCACAGATAGCTTACGAGTTATGATAATATAACATTAACGCTGGAACCAAAGTGGTCAAAATGACTAATTCCTAGTTTTCTTTAGATATATTTTTTTTAGATATTATATGTATATTACAGATGCAAAATAGCGTATTTTTAGAGCTATGATAATGTAACATTAACGCTGGAACTACCAAAGTGGTCAAAATGACTAATTCCTAATTTTCTTTAGATATATTTTTTCTTAGATATTATATGTACATTACAGATGCAAAATAGCGTATTTTTAGAGCTATGATAATATAACATTGACGCTGGAACTACCAAAGTGGTCAAAATGACTAATTCCTAATTTTCTTTAGATATATTTTTTCTTAGATATTATATGTACATTACAGATGCAAAATAGCGTATTTTTAGAGGTTTAAATGATTTTTTATAAAATACATGAATAAAAGTTTTCTACTGTATTTCTATTTTTTTTTTCTTTTCACTTTAATATCTCTGATGGAAATTCTATGCTCTAGTCCTTGGTAGTTTTAGTGTTAAGCACGAGTATGAGAGAGAAAGAAGGACAAATGAGAGAAGATGTGGATCTGATCGTTGAATAGAGAAAAGTAGAGTTACGTAAAATTGAGTAGATCTATCTAGCTCGATTTAAGTTTCAAATTTAATCTCAAGTATATTCAAATATAATCTCAAGTATCTGAACAGTAAGTTAAATGTATGTACATATTTTGGCGTTGATCGTTCGACGTTATCAAATCCCGCGAAACTTCTCAGACATTCGAGAAATTTCTGTGTTCGCCGCGTTAGAGTCGTCAAAATTGTTCGACCACGCGTGCACGCGCGTTCGTCTGTCGTCGATCTGAAAACGACAATAATTCCGAATATCGGGAATATGACAATTTTTCCCACCGGAGGGGACGTGGAAGGCTCGATAAATCTCAGGATTTCTGGTTAAACGTCGAGCGAACGGTGATATTAAACGTTTATATCGGCGGGGGAGCGCAATAAAATTCTTGGCCGAGCAGCATGCAAAAAGTAGACGATCAGTCAGAGAGAGAGAGAGAGAGAGAGAGAGAGAGAGAGAGAGAGAGAGAGAGAGAGAGAGAGAGAGAGAAAGATTCATAAAGTGAACCGAATTCCTTGCAGGACCTGCACAGCGTCGATCTGGAGGAATTCAAGCACGGCGGGACCAATATCACTGCCTTTCGATTAGTGGACCCGGAAAAGCCGGAAATACAGAGGGTCGTGCAAGATTGGATCTACGGCGAGAAACGTTACAATCGAGAGCTCGATATGGGACAGAGCTCGAACAAGGTACGACGAAATGTATCGCCCGATATTAGCTATTAATTACAGCAGTTGCCATTGCTTGCAGAAACAGGTTGATCGTGTCGCTGAATTTCCAATATTCGTCATATACCCCGCGCGATTCAATCTCCACGTTTGAATTCTAATTCTAACAGTTACGATCGAGTTCTGAACGAGTGCGATTGAATTCTAATTTCCAATTCTAATTGTTGTCATTTTCCATTTCTTCGCTTCTCTGCAATGGAACATTCAATTCTATCACTTTGAACATGTTGTTTCTACGAAATACGAAAGAACTTTGTCAACAAAAATTGTTTAGTACGAAATATGAAGGTAACAGTTCTTTTGTGAAAGTTTAGCCATCTCCGCTTTTTCAAATAATTTATCTTTTTTGGCAAATGCAGTTCGATAATTTTTCTACGAAAAAGAATATTAAGTATGTTAATTTAGGAAATACTTTGATCCTTAACCTGTAAAATCTATCGTGCGAAAAAACGAGAAGAGACAGGGGCAGTATTCTTTCACCTTTATTCTACACTTTACAAAATTAAAGTTAGAATATCTTCCGAACTATTAACTCTTCGATATAAACAGGTCGATATTTTTTTTTTTTTTTTTATAGAAGATAAAAGACTGATGTGTTTTTTACAGAGGTGTATAAAAGAATAGTTTCATTTAAAAGTCACAAGGGTAACATTGAAAAATGTCTAAAATTCTCGTCTTACAAAAGATCATTACGAAAAATGAGAAGAGACAGGATCAGCATTCTTAAAATTAAAATTAAAGTATCCCCCGAACTATTAATTGTTCGACGTAAGCAGGTCGATACTTTTTTTCTTATAGATAAAAGACTGATGTATAAAAGAACATGGAGTTCCATTTAAAAGAACCTAACCCTTGTACCAAAAAGCTTTTGTCAACAAAGTTGTCTCGTATCTCCAAGGCGATCGATCAGTCACCTTGCAACGCTAGTGGCGGCAATTTCAATTTCGCGACGCGTTAAAACCCTTTGCGCTGGCAACTGGTTCGCGGACCATAACGAGTGACCAAACCGCATACGATAATTCGTCGCTCTCTCTTTGTCTTTTGAACTCGTCGGTATGACATCACTGAATGAAAATAACTACGAATTAATAAATTTATTATTTGTCGTTGCCCGGGTTATATTTAACTAATTATTTTTATTAAATATCTTATTATATTTTATTAAATAATTATTAAGTATTTAAAAATAACTGAGAAAATATCGCAACTGTGGGATAAAGAATTCTCGACGTGCGTGGCAAGATGTTAAGTCGTAATTCACCCGGTTCGAAAGGGATGATGTGTTCGTTGGAAGCGCGTCACGCCGACGAGGCGCAGGCGAAATTTCAACGTGCATTCCGCGTGCGAACATAATTAGCGGCGCGAAGGACTTTAACAATTACTGGCTCGCGGTGTCGATGTAATCGTCTCGTAGCAACAACAACAGGTCTGCTCTCGAAACCTCGTGTGCGCCACGCGAACGCGAGGATTGTTCCACTTACGCTGGCCGCTTACCGCTTTGCCCTTCCGCAGTAACACTAATTTTGCATTCTTCGCGCGCGATCTCGCTTGACGGCTACATCGATCTTCCTCCGACTCGCTCGGTGCTGCTGTTCCGACGCCACCACCTCGCGTTTGACCGAAAATAAGCTGAAATGTGCTACATAATTCGATATTTCGCCGTTCGAAGGCTGAAAAGGGAGGGCGTCATGGGAAATTGAGTTGCCTCTGGCGTCTATGGACGATGTATCGCAAGAACGAACGTATTGGCGAGATGAAATGCCGATTAGTTTCACGTCGAATTCGTTCGTCCGTGTGGATATATTTGAACGCTTCCGATATACGAAATAAATAACGTGGCTACTTGATTTTAAAATCATTTTACCAATGTTGTTTCTTTTCTCGCTGGTTTCCGTTTTCTTGAAATTGAAAATCGACATATTAATATCAGTTGTTCGCGATCCTGTGATTTCTACATTAGTTCATAGGAAATACCATAGGATTTTAATAATCATTGATATCGATCAGTTGCTTCCCCGCAAATTTCCTTTTATCGTGTCGTATCGTAAAATAGGTGAAGAAGAATCCCCAAATGACTATTAGCATCGTAAATATTTCGACTTATTCGCTTCAATTTTTCGAACGAAAAATATTCCAACCTCTTCGAGCCGGACAACGTGAAATATTTGTTTCGCCCGCCGTTGGTACCGCCGCAAGAGGGTTTTAAATACCCGTGGAACCTCTTTATCTTAACCCCTGTTTGACTCTCTACTTTGCAACAGTCTTGAATCTCGAGTTTCGAAACAAAGTCGCTCGCAACTTTTCGCCCTGCGGAGCCGGAACATAAATAAGTCGGCGGTCAACTTGCTTTCGGTGGATCCGGAAGGATCCGTTGCATAAGGAACTTTGTCCAGCAAATTGCAGAGCTCTCGCTCGAGCTCTGCTGCACAGGTAACAAATCTCAGACGCGTACGTGGCGTGGTACGTTTTTTTAAAACCGCCCCTATTCTTGTTCGTCTTCGATCTCTGCTACCTTATTCATACGCGTCTGAAATCGTTCGTTTCGAAGCTGTCGAGCGTGCAATTTATCGTTGTTATATTATATCTACGACGAAATTCCTTAATTTTCTTTCTCAGATTTTCCGCATTCTCTAAATTCCACATTTTCTAAATTTTTCAGAAAATCATCTCTTAATCTGTGTTTCGTTCGTCGAGTCGCGGCGATTTTGAAATATTTGCAGAAGATAATTACAACGACGTGCAAAGTATATTATTAACGTGTACCTTACAAACTTTCCACTTTGAAATATTTGGAACACTTCGTTGCTGCTACCCTTTCGAGGCTGAACGAATTTGTCCCCGAATTTCCCAAATTTCCAAAATTCTGTTGCACTTTGTAAATGCAAATACGCGGTACAATTTCGTAATTCACGGGAGAGGAATGACAGGGAACGAGCGCTATTTTTCGCCACCTCTATGGATACGAATTCGCAGGCAATTTCGCTGCGGTATTCGATTGATCGCGCGAATTTCGTCGCGGAAATTGCCTATGCAATTTACCTACTTCCTCCGCGTGTTCCTCATTCTGCCGTGTATAAACCTGCTAACGAAATGGCATCGTGTTGCGTGATACGCACGATCTGAACGCGCGCAGATGCACACGCACTTGTATTCCCATTAGATATCCCTATTTTCTCTGTTTGCCTCGATTGGTGAAACGCGGCGAGGTGAAATTACCGGAACGATCGATGATGCAATTGAACGTGAAAGGACGGTGGCGGAAAATTTTTTTCACCTGCCGCTTTATTCGGACAATTCTGCCAATTTTGCAATGTGGCCTGACAGAAAGGTTCGAAGTTCATTTTCCCCCGAATTTTTCCCAGCCAACGGCCTCGGAACGACGCGAAATTAACAAACGAAACACTTTTTCTCTTTTATATTTTAAAAGATTTCCCTGTTCGAATATTGGTAATGGGAACGGATATGTGTAGAAGTGAAACGCTTCGCTGAAGATAAATATACGTTCGGGGAAATTGTCGAAGAAAACTTTGATTGAAGGAGGTACCGCATGTACGTACATACGAGATGACTATGCGAAGTGAAGGGAATGATAGGTCTGACCGGGACACGTGTGAAAGTTTCCACGTTGTTTCAATCGAAAATTCTGACGTTCGTTTGCTCCGTAAATACGACAATAATGTCCTATCATTTGCAATTAAAATATCGAACTTGGAACAATTTCACAATTCACTGCATTCCCGTCCCTCGCGATAATTATTATCGTTTTGCGTTCGATTGTGCCGAGATTCCTCGGCGATTCGATCGTCGCCAAACATTCTTCGATTGGAATTCAAACAGGTTTACGAACCGAAAGTTGGGTACCTAATTGCGTGGTTCTTGGAGCGATTCGTGAGGCAGCATCGCGGAGGCAGATTATGTCATCGCAGCGCGCATCTGGCACGGCATCAACCGCGGAAAAGTTGAGCAGTGAATCTGGACGTTCGGCCATCTCGTGGGAAGCAACATCTGCCGCGACCGACGCCAGCTTTCACGCCCATAAAAAGGTTAAATTGCATCGACGCCCTCGCACGTTCGCGCGAACTTTGGCCGAAACATTTTTGTTTGACGGACGTTATGCGGCCAGTTGGAGATGAACTTGATGTAGAATACAGGTCGCAATCAATTGTTTTATAGTTTGAATCGACACGGGATGAGAAAACTTATATTTTCTTCTTTTATATTTTCACTGTAGAATATCTCCTCACAAACGTCCAACCTTTGTCTCAGATTGTGTCGCGGTCTTTTTCCAACGACTAATAATTCACAGAGGAATCACACAGAAATGAAAGAACTGGGTTTCAAATTTAAATTTCACAGCGCGAAGCTTTTACTCTCACAATCCGGGATTCATTTTTCACAAAAAATAATTTCTTTCTCTGTCACGTAGTAAAGATATTGTTTATCATTTGAAAATACCGAACACATTTTTTCATGACTGAATCCACCATGAATTCGGAGACCGAAGTTTCTCGTTTATAACACCATCTAAAATCTTTTCGCTGTATAATTTGTGTGTGTGTGTGTGTATAACTATTGAAACGGAATTGAAGAAATTCTCGGACTTTGTCGAATTTTCGTTTCGTCGAAAATTCAAAGTTCAATAACTTAGCGAAAAGAGATTGCGCAGCAAGTTTTAGGGGGATCGTTGGTAAAGGGAAGTCAAATCCAGAAGTCCTTCAAATCCACAGATAGATTCAGTTACGAGAAAAAAAATTGTTCAACGTTCGAATTTACAACATTTCCGAGGAGAAACAGTATCTTTACTTTCCCACTTACTGGACGATACAGAAACATTTTCCGTTACGAAAATATAACAGCTGAAATTGAGTTTTTCGAACGTTGAAAATTTACTTACGCGAGCAAGTAAGTTTCCGCAACGATTTCTTCAGTTTCCGCGGAATTGGAAAATTTCCCTCTCACTACTAATTAGAAGAAGAGTCCGGTGAGATATTCCGCGTAGAGCCGCTTTCTGGATAAGCTTCTCGAAGAAAATAAGAATCACAGGGAATTCACCTATGAAAACGCAAACAATTGAACGGGATCAGCGGCCGGGCGTGCGAAAGAGGGGTTAAATAATGGGAGCTGGAATCGTTGGAAGGCACCCCGGGGCCATTCTAAGGTTGCCGAGCTTTATATCTTTTTACCCACGACCCTTTTCTGCCTCTCCTATACCTCTCCATTCATTTCTCTCCCCGTTGGAGGAGGCCACGCTTGTTTGATCCCTGACCCGTTTATAACGCGAAGGAAACCACCCCGCGGAAGTCGGCCCACCGATGGCGCTGCGCTCGCCGACGCGCTTTTTCATCGCAACTTCGTTAAATTTGCCTCGTTCGTAGCCGTTTGGTTGAGACAACGTTTTGACGAGTAAATCAGCCGGTTGTCGTTTGTCTTTTTCTTTCTCTCTCTGTCTCTCTCTCGTCGTCTTTATTTCCTTTCTCGTAAATGGCGTCCTTCCATCCAGCGACGAGGAATCGATTCTCACCAGGCATCCGGAAGCTAGGACGAAAAAAGGCTCGCGTCGCCGCGCCGCTGGCTTACAAAGGCTCCTCTCTTACAGAAAAGGCGATCCTGGATTCGATGCATCCTCGTTCCGAGAAAATTCATCGCGGGCCGTGTTTGACGCGGTCTGAAATAAAAATAAAAGTAAAAAGAGAGTAGGAAAGCCTAGAATAGGAACTGGAAAGCGACGGGACTTTAAAAAAAGGAAGGAAAAAAAATATTTTGCTATGTAACAAGATATTTTGGAAACGAGAGGTTTACGGGGGAAAAGAGAGGGTATCGGTTTCAACGTGGACTTTGAGTTCGATAGTTATTTTTTCATACGTTCCCTATTTTTTTCGCATTTTCACCTGCTCCGTACTATTGGTCGCATCGCATTAAAGTTTCCTCAGTTTTGTATTATCCCTTTGACACGGTATTTGCGTCTGTTGCGCATACATTGGAAAATAAATGTTTCTTTGATGAATCGACGTTTTCTCTCTTTTTTTCTCTTAGACCATGGGTGTTCAACCTTTTAGATCTTCTGGGGCTCATTGGCCAACAAAAATTTACATATGTTTTTTATCAGTTCAATGTAACCTATATTATTTGCGAGGATATTGAAAACAGCTTTTATACTGAAACAATACATTGATTATATATATTTAAATTAATGGAAAAAAATAGAAAAATTTTTCTTCATAAGCACTCCCTAAAAGGGACATTCGTAGTTAAAATAATAAAATTCTCCTTCAATTATTTCAATTTTGGTTTAGACTCTTCAATTGTTGATACGTGTCAGAAAGTCTCAGACAAGTAATTTCATTAATCTGCTTCATCCTTTTGCCTTTATCCCTACCGATATACGATGCAACACATTTATAAGAAGTCTTGATAGATTAAGAGAATCACGCAGGTTTCACTCTACGGAGGGGTGAAACTCGCGAAAGACAAGTCCACGGGGCGAACTTGCTCCACTCGTAACCAGTTCTTTATAACTAAACTGATTTATTCGTTGAATATTCGAGAAAGCTGCCGAGCAGCCGCGACAACGGGACGGAAAGGAGACCGGAGAGAGAAATAGTAACGTGGCCGAAGAAATTTGTATTCTCTCTACGTGCAATTAACCAGATTTATTTCACTGGAGCTTCTCTCTCTCTCTCTCTCTCCCCCTGTGAAAAAAGAAACTCTGGGTAAAAAGAAGCTCCGTAATTCCTAGGAGAGCTAACGTAGAAGATTCGGACGATTCCGATCCCGATGTTGTACGAGAGCGGGTTCGACGAATACGAAATCGCGTTTATTGTTCGCCGTACTTCAGCTCAATTACACGGTAACGGAAAGTTGTTAGTCGCGAAACGGAGCAGCAGGAAAAACGAGGGCAGAATTAGAGCGGGCAAAAGGAACAACGGAGGAGGGTCGCATTAGCGATTCCGTGCGAGTCGCCGGCCAGGCGAGCGCCGACGAGTATGTAAATACGCGTACACAGGGAAAATTGAGCGGATGTGAGTAAATGATGGTACGTGACCGATCTTAGGAGCGTTCGGAAGAGGAGATGCCGCGGTTAGAAGGAGGCGAACGTTTGCTTGGCAACCAGTATCGAAGCTCGAGCAAAATTACACTGTTCCCTGTGTGAGGTTAATTTTCGACAACGACGTGCCCTCGCGCGTTCTCTTCCTCGCACTTTCTCACACCTTGGAACACCGTTTTTTTTTCCTTCCTTTTCCTTTCTTAGTTGAAGAATCGAGATACGCGCAATGGAAATTTATCAGAGAAAGTCTGTCAACAGTTTACGTGAACACTGTCGATGGCAAAGGGAACGATAGGATAGAATGATCGCGAGAGATTCGGCTGCACAATTCGGAATCCGATAATCGACACGCGAGCCCGTTGAAATCTCATCGTCCAAATTTTTTATCGCTCGCGCAGCCGGGTTACGTTCCGTCCCGCGAAATTCAATTTGCCCCCGAACTGATCCGCGAATTTCCTTTACGATCGTCGGACGGGCACCACCGTCTGCCTGCACGCGCGCTATCGATACGTTCTCTCGCAAAGAACATCTTGATGCTCAGCTGTATTACTATTACCGTAACGACGTTTCCGGGGGCTCCACTTCCGTTCCGACTGTCTCCGGCGTGTTTTCAAATTTTCCACGCTTACCTTCGGAGTTTCGAGTCGAGTAACCTTGGAGTAACTTTCGAGTCTCTATCCGCGAGGATCGAGCTGCGATAGCTCGACATCTCGGATTGCTTCAATTCGAGAAACTCGATCCGAGAAGGTATAATAATATTGAAAAGAACCGATTCGGGATGAAATTCTGTTGATACGAATTGTCCGGTGTATTTGAAACCCTCGTGAATTCCTATACTTTCTTTTTTACTTTTATTCCGGACGAGGTTTATGTTATAAAAAAAAAAAAAAAAAAACGATATTCCATACGTATCAGCCTGGTACGTTACGTGGAACGAAACACACAATTTTCGCTTTTCTCTGCCGAGTAATCGATATTTCAACCGGTTTCGTAAACACGTCGTTTCACGGGGGGTGGCAGGGGGTGGAGAGGGCGCCTCAATTTTCACGTTCGGTCGACTGCCAGCGGCACGAACTTAACAAAATCGCGCTAATTAACTAGGATCGCGTGCACGTGACAAATGATCAATGTATCCGTTGAATTACAGATAAATTGGTCCGCGCGCTGGTTGCTATCGACAACTGTAAGTACAGATAGGAAATGCCTGTTATTCGTCATCGTCCGGTGTGTTTACGCCTCGATTCGCTATCATTTTCCACCGTGGCACGTGAACGTTTTCGATCGTCGTATTTTCCTTCTGGTTAACCTCGCCGACGGTGGAGACAATTAATTTTCAATCGCGCCTTTCGCTCGCCGTTATGATCGATCTTCGATCGATGAATTGTGACAGTTTTCTTTTCAACGGATAACCTATGCTGATATGATTAAACAATTTCCATTCAAGCGTTGCAACCATTTTCTGGCGCTTAACGTGCAATTTGCGAGATTAGAACATCGTCAACAAAACGAAAATAAAGTAAAAATAAAAAAGGAATGTAAATAAAAATAACTTCTTTTGCTGGTCCACTTCAGCGACACTTTCATATAACTCATCCCCTTTAGCATTTCTTATTGTGCAGTTTTCTTCTTTATTGAATTTACCATATTTATTTACCGTTATAATAATAATAATATATCTTTTACCCTATCAATGTTTCTATCCTATTATTTTCATCCATTACTATAACTGTTATATCTATCTCATTTACTCGTATTTGTCTATATACATCTCATTTATCTTATTTTCCAGCATAGCAATTATTACATTTATATGTACAATTTATGTTATTTATCTTATTTTATTTATCTTATTTTCCATCTTATTATATTTATCTTATTTTCCAGCATTAGTAATTATTACATTTATATGTACAATTTATGTTGTCCTTGATTTTCATCCTGATGCTTGCTACTTTTCCTTTTTTCTTTTTTGTCTAAGAAAGAACTTTTGCTGTTTATTTGAACTAAGTTAAATTAAATTAAAAGTCAATGAATCTTGGTTAACTTGTGTCTGATAATTGGTTGACTTTACTATTACAGCGAGGAGCATAACTCAACTAACGATAACACATTGTTGATAATTTCGTTTAAATTCGTTCTTTTTCAAAAATAATCTGACATCACGTTGCGAGATATCTTTTCTTTCTCGAAAATTGTAAAATACAAACTCATGTTTTCAAAAACATTAAAAAATTTTTCTCGTGAGGAATGTATTTAAACATTTTGTCAAATATTGGATATTAAGATTAAACGACAAAAATTTAAGAAACCCTAGTATTTCTTAATGTTTTATCTTAAATTTCGATAAAATAGTGAAAAAAAGAAGCAGACTTTGAGAAGTCCTTGTGAAGAAGAGATTTTAATCCTGGAGATCATAGTGAGTCTAATCATGAAAAATACTTTTTATTGTTTTTAGAAAAGTTTGAATGTTTACAATTTTCTTTACTCTTTCATCTATTGCATAGTATAATATAAAATAAAACTTGTTAAAAAAAAAGAAAAATAAAAGAAAAGACAAACTAACTGCTAAAGTAGAGATACCTCGTGGTTTGAAATAAGACTAAGTGGATTATTTCATGATTTTAAATCATCAGCAATAGTTCAGTTATACTCTTCATTATATAAGCTTCATTATATATTCAACATTACATCATTTCGTAACCCTAACTTTCGTTTATATCAGCAATAACACATAGGTTAACATGTATAAGTAGCTAGAAGTACTATGTAAAATAGTAATCAAAGGATCAAGCGAAGAGTTTGTAATAGATTAACGAATGCTTTTGTTTCATGCACGCGTGGAACAGAACAACCTCACCTGCATAAAGGTAAGGCACGATGTTTCGTTAGTTGATACTTTACGCAACGAAACAATCCCACGAGAAGCTTCCTCGCGAAAATACAATAAATTTCTCGACACTGTCACGTTGGGAGAGCCGCTCGAGATTCTGAATTTAAATGAATTTCCAGAAAGCCTCTGTGGACCATTTTCACGTTAATCAAGCCTTTTAATTCCGCGACAAGGTTTAGACAAGGCAATCTCACGGCTACACAATTAATTAAAATGCTTTGATGTTTCTTCGCTATGAATTATTAATAAAGAGGGAATAATGAAGCTGCGAAACCATCATCTTGGAACAATAAACGTCTTATTATCGTTCCATCGATCGAATTTTGCGAGAAATCTCCACGAGGATTCCGAGTCAATCACTCACGCGGATTATTCGCGAGTTTTCCAAACATCTTAGATCGCCTTGTTTAAGCTCCAACAAGAAGAAATTCTCGTTTCGAAGAATTATGTCGCGTCTATATATTCAATGAGCGTTGCGAGAAAGAAAAAGGAAAGAATGGGCCATCGTAGAATTTCCATGTTAACTAGATTACTTAATTTTACCTTAACTGTCCGACTGGCAATCTCGTTGTGCCCGCAAACACGAGGAACAGGTCTGGCTTTCCTGTAAATGGCTCTACGAACGTGCCTCGTAAAATCCTGCGATCCTATTGCCTGTTTCAAATAGAAGAACGCGTAGTCACGCTACAAGCAAGAACATTCAAGATGAGCTTTGACAGTGATTCAGAAAAAGATTCGTAGAAACAAACTGTTGCGATTTATCACGAGGTCACAAAGATTCTCTTCTTCTTCTTTTTTTTTTTTTTCTTTTTCTACGAAAAAAAGTTCGAGCTAGCTTGAAAGTTCATTTTTGCTCCTTTGCCGCGGAAAGCAGAGACAGTTTCGTTTCGTCGAGGATCGATATTCAAGAACATTTTGCACGAAGTCATTTATTACGAGAGTGAAACGTTTGGTTTTTGATTTCGGATCGTCTAGACTGAAACATCGCTTATGTACGACGCCGTGCACCTATTCGCGAAAGCGCTGCACGATTTGGACACGTCCCAGCAGATCGACATCAAACCACTGTCCTGCGAGTCCACCGACACTTGGCCCCACGGATATTCTCTCATAAACTACATGAAGATCGTGAGTATATTTTCAGTTATGCCCAGCAAGTGTCTATATTTTATACCCCAATAATAATAATAATAATCATCATCATCATCCTTCTTATTTCGTAGTCTATATCCTGCATCCCACGTTCCATATCGTACATTCCATTTAACATCTCATATCCTAGATCCCACGTCTCACACATTGTATTATAAATATCATATCCGATATGTGTATCTCACATTCTGTATTCCACGTCTCACATTCCATATCATTTTACATACCTCACATCTCACATTCTATGTTCCATTATTTCTTGTGGGACAGCAAATTTCAAACTAGTCCACGAATTAGCCTTGTAGAAAATTCGCGAGTTACACGATTTATTTTGTGGCGTAAGAATATTCGGATTGGCCCACAAATCAATTTTATGGGGATTTGTGGGCTCTGTTTCTTTATTCTGAAGGCACATAGTTGCGATGAAGTTGGTTCTGTGATGAGGGAAAAGGGTATGAGATATAAAATAGAACGTGAGACAGTGGCATGGAGTATTCAATATATAATAGAATATATTAGAATAAAGTATATGAAATGTAGATTGTGGGATGTACGTAGTTAATAGTGGAAATTAGAATAAAAGATAATCAGGATTCGCGTGGGACACGAGATAGGGAATACAAAATATTCCATAGTGTGATATTGTGGAAATTGGGACAAAAGAACGCGAATTAACAATATGGGATTGCGATATTAGATAAATATGAAATGTTGGACGTGGAACGACAATGCTAATATTGGAAATCAGGATAAAAGTTACTTGTCAGGGACGCTGAATGTGTGCTGCGGGATAAAGAACGTTCCGAATAAAAACTAATACTTACCGAGCCATGAATCGTTAAAGACGATTTCACTGAATATTGCAGTTCCATCCCGATATAATGGGCCGTGGCTGTTTAAATGCCTCGGTATTAACTTTAGTGAATTTCCATACATTTGCATATTATGCACATCCGATGCATTTGTACACCTGTAAATTTCCCATAAACGCGCAAACAGCGGCGCGGATCTAGCCATTAAAATAAGATATGCGTGTACGTTATAATGCAACGCTTGAATATTTCATATGTTATTGAATATCTATTACATCCGCCACTTGCGTTACCGTGCTTTTAAATTTCTCATCAAACGCGCGAAACTTAGAATTTAGATTAGGGCATTAATATTGAAAGTCTTGGGTTTAGTTTGACGCGCGAGATCTTGCTTCGCGTTAAATAAACAAATTTCATTTATTTGCCCAGAGATGGCCACCTTTGGCGTGTTAGAGGGACGCACAAAGAAAGTCAAAGGGCTGGTTTACGATGTGACGAGAAAAGGTGGAAAATTCCGTTCCTTTCCAAGCTTTAATCCTATCGCGATATCGTTAGAAACGCTCCAATTGGAAACGAGTCGAACGATCAGAGAACGGCGTTGGCGTCACGACGACGTCGGGAATTCGACGTTCTGATGGGACTGTCAACCTGTGACGCAATTGGCAAAGAGAGAGAATGTCGACGCGCAATGGGACCGGCGAAATTATCGGGTCAACCAGCCGCTTTCGTAGCTGCAGCAATTTTTCCCACCCTCCGCGTCTCTCTCTCTTTTTCTCTCTCTCTCTCTCTCTCTCTCTCTCTCTCGCGAGCATGGCAAAAACACTCTTCAAACCGCTACATCGTCCCGGAGGGATCGAATTTTCAAAACCCGAGCGCGATTTACGATTGTTTAACTCTTTCGACAAACTTTTTTTTGCATCATCTACCGGTAATTTATTTACGAAGCATCATATTCGAATGAAATGGCAGAGCAAAAATTGGAAATAATCATTCAAATGATATTTAACACGAAATTTTGTTGGTTATATCTTTGATTAACGTGTGATATCGTTTAAATTTAAACGCATTGCGGGTTTACTAGAGTATACAAAATATAATGGCACGTAGTTTCAATCTCTGGAAAAATAATATCCTCCGTCATTTTTTAAACTTCCAACAATAAGAAGTCTAGTTTATGCGAATTGTGTGAATTATTGAGTTTCAGGACTGTTTTTAGAAATTTCTACTTCTGAAATTCTTTTTTGTCCTTCTTACGTCGTTATTATAGCTTTTGCTCTAGACGTCTGTTTAAATATTATACTATTATATATAACACATATATATAACACATATATAATTATTAGCAAATTATAAAAAAATGAAATCCGAGGTGTTGGCTAGATTTAAGTACGATGTCCCTTCAAAAGCGACAGTCGATATATATATATACGCGATTTTGAGAGAACATCGGATTTCCTCTTTTTATAATTTGCTAATAATTATATATGTGTTTTATATATACGATATATAATACTATAATATTTGAACAGACGTCTAGAGCGAAAGCTATAAAAACGACATAAGAAGGACCAAAAAATTTCAGAAGAAGAAATTTCTAAAGACAGTACTGAAACTCATATATATATATATATCACGTTCGTGTGCATTCTCGTGTAAATTGCGAATTTCACTTGGATTTTATCATCTGAATCATTTGCGCTGGCAACTGACTGCGGACCATAACGAGTGACCAAACCGTAGACAATAATTCGTCGCTTTCTTTTTGAACTCATCAGTATGATATCACTGGATAGAAATTATTGAAAAGCAATAAATTTATTATTTGCTTTGCCTGGATTGTACTTAAATATATTTAAAACTGAGAAAATGTTACAATTTTGGGATAAAAAATTCTCGACGTGCATGTCATTCCAGCGCAAGAGGTTGATTGATCTATCAATCCCGCGTATTTCTTTCGTTTCGTTTTGTTTCACGTTCGACCTCCTACGGCGAAGTAAATCAATTGGCCTCTAATTTTGGACCGGACGACGTTAATTAAATATAAACTCTCGACGTTTCCCAATTCCGCGACCGCGAATCGTCAAAAAATGGAGCTTCCAATTTTCAGTATCATTATCTTTCCGCGTTGTAGGATATTTTAATAAGAGGTCGAAACGTTAAATGTTTTCCAGTAATTTATCCTTTCGCGTTTACCACATCTCGAAACGATTGAAACACCAAGAAAAAAGAAAAAAAGCTTTCGATCTCCTCCTCGTTTCCAACCCACTTTCGCAAAATATGTTACTTCGACGAGAGATCAAACGATGATCGATTCAAACGGCAACACGGCAATTCAAGCTCGACCTAGCGCAACCTAAAATCTTCCGCCTTGTTGGCTCGTACCTATATTCATATTCATACACATTCAGGCTGAAATCAACGTCTTCCACTCTCGCGTATCGTTCTCGCGAATCTGAAACCAGTCGAGTGGCATCGTCCTCGCGCGACTGTCCCCCGAAAAATCCGCGCATACACACACACACACACACACACACACACACAATCCGCGCGACGAAATCGCACGATCGAGAAATTCCTTGGCGCGAGAAAACTAAGCAGGATCGGCGCGAATTATGCAAAGCGGGACGGTAAGGTCGCGCGCGAGCAGCCTAATTGCACGGATGCGTAATTAGAGGTTTGTCGGTGGTGCAAAGCGAGCTCGCCGCCCGCGGCAAAAACACCGTCCCGTATAACCGATGCGACAATGTTCCGTTATCGATAGGCATCTTGCAGGCCAGTTGCGGTGTTTCTATCGCTGCAAACGCGGATAAAGAGAGAGAGAGAGAGAGAGAGAGAGAGAGAGAGAGAGAGAGATGGGCGAGAGGTCGAGAGAGATAGGCGAGAGCCAGTGTGTAGGTAGGTTTATCGGGAACGTATCGCGCAGAGGGGAGGAAATTAATTTCGCGGAATTATGGACATCGATCGACCGTCCGGCCAACGTAATAAGCCATTATAACGATATGCTTAATCGGACTGTCTCGCCCGTTTTGGGATTCTCTGCTTATTAACGAGCGCCACGAGTACGGCCATGTGTGAATGCGATCTCTCTCTCTCTCTCTCCTATGTCGAACGACGCTGAAAGTTTCACCTCCCCGACTCGGTCGTGGTCGAACGAAACTGTCGTTCCTCAAGCCGGAGCGTTGACAAATTATGGCCCACGGTTCTCCGACCGTGAAACCAACGATGACGTTCCACGACGCCCGACCACCTCGCGTTAGCAAGTCGAGGTCGACCTACTAACTCACTTAATCCGAGACAGTGGGTTCTGGTTCCGCCTGACTCGTGGAAGGATCTGGCAGGATTATTCATGGGGTGACAGAGGCTCATTCCTCCTAAGGTAGTGAAACACGAGTATTCAGATTATTTTGCAATAATTGAAATTTACGAGTCGTCCCGTGCGACTCGCGCTCGTCTGGAAGAAAACTGATTGTTAATTAAGATAGGCTCGCCCTTATCTTCCTGATCCACTCGCTGGCATCAAGTCTCCTGCTGTGCGTCGTGTTCCGCGGAATTGGAAAGTGTTTTCGCACGCGAGACGACGTAAGAAATCGCATTCGAATTTTTAATTACGTCGAGCAACTCCACGGACGACAACGTAACGAAATTGCTCTTACTCCTCGAGCGTAATTTCTTGCCTATCGTGATGATTTCAATATTGAGATTAGCGCGATGTAATAATACAAGTAAGTTTTGCATATTTGAATATTCGTGCGGCAATTAAAGTGCCTGTTTCACTTAGGCGGCAATTGCAACGCAACATTTTTCTCTTTTTTTCTTTTCGGTGGAAGACCGATTGCCTGTTTCTGGAGGACGAGCGGAAGTATTAACGATCGTGGAGAGGTGAAAAGAGCTAAAGAGCCTAAGAAACAGCGGTGACCAGAACCGGCGAATGAGCTTTAACGAGCTCTCAGACGGCTATGAAAACACATTATTAAGTAGGATGCTACCTCTCCGGCCGTCTGAGCCCGAGAGTGTTTTGAATATCCTCGTTCAAGTTCCTACTCCAATCGTTTAAAGTTTAAAGCATCGGTGTCTTGGTATCCTCGGCAGAGTAGTTATCACGGATTCAGGCTCGAACGGGCCTGAGAACGAGTACGAGGCTCCGTTCGAATCGCTTGGCTCGGATAACAACAGGGTTGTCCGAGTTTTAACGTTGTTGTCTAACGAGCAGTTTTAATTGGAACGCGATAAAATGAAAATTGGAAATGTCGGCGCGCACAAAGGGATTCCTTCGGTGCGAATTCAGTTGTACAACGAGTCGATTCATTTTCTTTTTTTTCTTTTTTGCTTTGTTTCGTTTTGTTTTTCATCCGATAGGAATTTAATTGGCGTAAATTTATATCGCATGCAACGCGTTTCCAGGCGATAATGTGCACACATGACGAAACTACCATCGCACCTTCAAATATGCCACGACGAGAAAAAAAAAAAAAAAAAAACGACGAAACAATTCCGACACGAGATATATAGTGTAAAACATAATGGCAATTAGCAGCGTAAACGGAGAATTCAGTTACCTCAAAAAAATCAGCCGGTCCAGTAACGAATCGTCGCTGTCTTCTCTCATTTTTTTGTTACTTTATCGACTATTCGTTTCGTTTCTTTTTTTTTTTTCTTCTTCTTCTTTTCTTCAATAATTGCACCCCTGTTAACGATGTCCTTCCTTTCTGGCGTAGGTGTTATTATCGACCGAAACTCGATTCCGCGAGCGTTGACTTCGAAACGACGGTGGTTGATCGCGATCTCTCGCGCCCCTTTGCCTTCAATTCTACTAATTACGCGACGCGAAACACACATCCGGCGAGCGCAATTTGTCGCCGAAAATTCCGCGTCAAGGCTGCCTTGGTAATTACGCAGGTAATGGCAACTTGCCGCTAATTTTCCTCTGGCTGCGTCGCTCGAATTCGACCCGCGAATTTATTGCGAATCCGCGTCACGCGACGCCATCGCCGTTTCATTACGACGCGATTCGCTTGAACAAAACCGTGGATATTTTTCCGCTCGTCCGACACAGGAACGGGGGAGGGAGATTTCCGATCAGACAGGAAAAACGAGGGAAAAACCGAGAGGAAGGATCGTTCGATCGGCTGTCGTTGATTCCCTAGCCGCGTCGATTTCCGTCCTCGCTTGATTAGAACTAGAATTTCGCGTTTAATTATATCGGCCGCCCTCCCTTTTCACTTCCTCCCCACCGGTTACGTAAACGCGCGGTTCATATTGCGTCCGCTCGATCAACCCAGCCGTTTCCGCCTTCGGACGCTTCAAATTGTACCCGCTTGTAAATATCGAATGCCGTTTACCATCGTAAAATGGAGGATTCGATGGTTCGAGAGTATTCGAGTGAATTGCACGAATGGTGAAATTAGTTGACTTCTCGACTAATTTTTTGAAGAATTTTTCGAGAGATTATTTTTGGGTCGAGTAGGGAAATTAGTCGACTTCTCGACTAATTTTTTGAAGGATTTTTCGAGAGATTATTTTTGGGTCGAGTGGGAAAATTAGTCGACTTCTCGACTAATTTTTTGAAGGATTTTTCGAGAGATTATTTTTGGGTCAAGTGGGAAAATTAGTCGATTTCTCGACTAATTTTTTGAAGGATTTTTCGAGAGATTATTTTTGGGTCGAGTGGGGAAATTAGTCGACTTCTCGACTAATTTTTTGAAGGATTTTTCGAGAGATTATTTTTGGGTCAAGTGGGAAAATTAGTCGATTTCTCGACTAATTTTTTGAAGGATTTTTCGAGAGATTATTTTTGGGTCGAGTGGGGAAATTAATCGACTTCTCGACTAATTTTTTGAAGAATTTTTCGAGAGATTAGTTTTGGGTCGAGTGGGGAAATTAGTCGACTTCTCGACTAATTTTTTGAAGAATTTTTCGAGAGATTAGTTTTGGGTCGAGTGGGGAAATTAGTCGACTTCTCGACTAATTTTTTGAAGGATTTTTCGAGAGATTATTTTTGGATCATCGACTTGTCGACTAATTTTTTGAGAGATTTTCTTGGGAATTATTATCCAAGACTGTTTGACATTTGTTTCTAGGTGGAGATGACAGGTCTGACAGGGATTATCAAGTTCGATCACCAAGGTTTCCGCTCGGACTTCATTCTAGACATCATCGAGCTTAACAACAAAGAGGGATTGAAGAAGATTGGGACGTGGAACAGCACGAAGGGGATAAATTTCACGAGGAGTTACAGAGAGGAATACACTCAAATCGTGGAGAACTTACAGAACAAGACTTTCATCGTAACGACCATTCTGGTGAGTAGTTTGCGAAAGGTGCCCGCTGTTTCAACAGACTTTCACGACCGCCATGGCGCTGGTAAATTAATTAAACGAAGTAATTAATTTACAAAAATGATAATTTATTTTTCATAATGTAATATAATATATTTTTAGCGTGGAATATTCTTTCTTTTCAACGCGCATGTTAACTCTTTGCACTCGACTGTCTCCTGGGGATATCATACTTAAATTAAGCTAAAATTATCGTTATAATTATCATTTTTTACCATTGCTGATAATTATAACAAACGTAAATATAGTGTTGTATGATATAATATACGACGTAAGAGGAATATCAGGAAACGAAATTTTTGAAGATGGAGGTAGTCGTGAGCCAATTGACGCTCATTATCGTCGAAAACAATAATCGAAGGATTATTCCAAAAATTCGCATAAACTGAACTTCTTGCTGCTTCTTACGAAAGTTTATAAAATGGTGAAGAAAATTTTCAAGAGATCGAAACTACGTATCATTCTTGATGATTCCTTTAAAATCACAATCAACAACATTTTATGCCAAATATTATTTAAACAGAATGATTGTTTTCAATGCTGTATAATTTCATTCGAAGTGATACTTCACTCACTGTTTCGTAAATAAATTGCTGGTAGACAATACAAAAGCTAAATGACGCGAAAAATGTTTTCGAGTTAATATTTTATCAGTTGAATAACGCTCGAAACGTAGTTTACAAGGGTAAAAAGGAGCTCGTGGAATTCTTTTCTCCCGGCGGCGCTGGAAAGAGGGGAAAATCTAGGTTGCGCGTAAATCTAAGGAAGCAAAGTAACGTTCTCGTTTCCTTCAAACCTCGGATTTTGAAATTCATAGCTAAATTAATTACTCATTCGCTAATTAAAAACCTTATTACCGCTGGACCCCGGTTTTCTTACGTAAATCTACCCAACTCGGGGTGAAACTCGCGTCCAACACGCGAAATTAAAGAAAAAAAAAAAAGAAAGAAAAAAAGGAACCTCGTGGCTGCAACGCGCGAGCACGAGGAACTTCAAATCCTCGAGTCAACTTTTCAAAGCGACCTCGACATTTCATCCCCTGACGTTTCAATCAGCTAAAGTGATTTTTCCTCCTGAATCTCCTCTCTCCTTCCGGAATTTCAAAAAAATCGCTCCCTCGTTCTCGCGACTGGCCACGTAAATCATTCGCGTATCGTTAAAATCCCGACTGTTTGTTTTTCCGGAATGAAAAGGAAACAGAAACGGAGTTGAACGAACGCCGCGCGGAACCGGAGGAACTTCCTTTTCCTTTTTCCTTCGCCGCCTTCGCCAACTCGTTAGCTCTCCCACTCTTTCTCTTGTTCCTCCGAGTCCTCTCTTTCTCTTTCTAGCGCCACTTTCCTGCGCTGCTTCTTGCGGCGACGGAAAGGAAACCAGAGGGAACCGGAAACGACGAAGGGACACGCCATTTAATTGAAGTTTTCGCGGCGAGCCAGCCAATCTTATTTATTCTTGCGGTAATTTCGAGGACAAGTAACGCCACGCTCGCAAATATATCAACTGGCTAAAGAAAGTTCGCTTCTTCCTGGACGAACGATCGCGCTCGAAGTTTTCGAGTGGATCGGATAAGGGCGCTCGTCGATTTCGCCCAACGTCTTCGAAACTCGAACAATTTAACGCTCGGCGTCTTTAAAGGTCCGTGACTTACTTGCCGAGCTCTAAACGCTCTGTATTTGCGAGGATATTAATCGAATTACTCGTTGACGGCGTGCTTGAACTAGCATATTATCACGTTAACCTATTTAAAAACCTTTCGCAGCGTTCGTGGACATTGAGTTTATGGTAATCGACGAAACGAATGGCTCTTGATATTTTTCCGAATATAATTATTCGCGGATACTTCGTCACGCACGTCGGATATTGATTTAATCATTTTTTTATTATTTTATTTGTTTACTTTTTTCCATTTATTTATTTCCGCCCGGTACAGGCGACGCTTGTGTTTCAAGCGTGAATCTCAATGCAACAGTTTCCGCTGTAGCAAACAGTTTCCGTTCCCAGAAAAATGAAATTAATCGATGAAAGGAACGTGTGTGTTTCATAAAACGATACAAACGACGCTTGTATTATATTTTAAATGCGGGTCTCAGTTCAAAGTGTTCGTCCCAGAGAAATAACATTATTTAATGAAAGAAACGTGCACGCGTTACACGAAGCGACACTTGTATTACAAATGTGAATCTCAATTCAAAGTTTTCGCTGCAACAATTATTTCCAGGGAAATAAAATCGTTTGATAAAAGATGTGCGTTCAGCGTAACTGTACCAATGAAAGTGAAAAGTCGTCGTGAAAACGTTCTGACTGACGCAACTCTGTGAAAAAAAGTCAGTCCCGCTTTAAACTTTGACAGCCGTGAATTCCTTTCTTTCGAAGATGACGTAATATCGTGTAACGGGTGGCAAAGTGAGGCTTACTTTCTTCATAAAAATTGCCAAAATTCAAAACGCGCGTGAAACTTTGGAAAATTTTTCTCGCGATTACGTCTTTGAAAAAATTTTGAAGATGAAAACTTTCTCTTCACAACGAGCCCCTAAAACTCGTCGCGTAATCTCTCCTCGTCATTTTATTAAACTTGGGACGTTAGGGCTGGATGATGAAACGCTAGGATCTTCTCGAATTTTTGTCGTTTAGCCCTAATACTCGACGTTCGATAAAATGGCGAGGAAATAATCGCACGACTAGTTTCAAGGGCTCCTTGCAAATGCTGGAACCTTCTCTTTGCAACAACTTTTTATCAATACTCGCCGTATGATTTCTTACTATCGTTTTACGGAACTTTGTATGAAATGTTAGGATTTCGTTCAATTTCGTTCACCGTTCAATAGAACTCGTACAGCAAGTTCAGAAGGAGTTTCGAGTCGTTGCAAAGTGGAGACATTAATCTTCAAAATGGTGATGGATCTGGTTAGAAAAGAATTTTTCAATGTCTCGTCCGAATTATCGACAATTATCGAGGGAAAAAAAATTACGCTCGTGTGAAATCATCAAATGGATCGTTGTATGATTTCTCTTCATCTGTTTTACAAAGTTACGTCGGTTGAAATTATCGACGATCTCTCGTCCAATTGTCATCGTTACAGTTAGTTCGCCACTTTGTGTGTCTCACAAAGCGTCCCGCGAGTTTCCCCAATTCAGGAACTTCGATTGCGATCGGATTCTCTCTTCGGGGGAGAGTTGTTCGCCGAAAAGTTTTTCGGGGAAATCGGTGCACGTACGCCCGCAACATCGATTCCCAGGGGAGGAAATAGAGGGAGGAAGGGGGCGGCTTCTCCGCGAAATTCCGCCGGCATTTAATTATCGCGTTTCGCGTAAACGCGTCGTTTCGCGAGCGACACGCGGAATTCGAAACTCGCGGAGCTGCCAGCCAGCACGCATTCGCGCAATCACCAAATAACTCGGCTGCAAGTTTTCATCTCTCAGCCCTCGCGCCCGGTACAGAGGTTATCGCGTCGCTGTGCGTTCCGACCGTGTTCCATCAATCCCTGGTACGAGCATCGAGCCTTTCAACGAGCAAAGAAATCCCTGCACATCGGCACGAGAGCGCAACCCTTTCAATTGCCGACACACGCGTGCATATTCAATCCCGTTGCTCGCCGCAGATCCACCACCGTGTTGATTAAAGCAGCATCGGGCCGCGAAAGAAGCCTGGGATTTTTATTACCCCCTCGAAACGTGATTAGGCCGAGTACGATAGTTTCGCATTTCGTTGCTTCACACGTGGCGTTCAATAATATCTAAGCGTTCCTTCGTTCGTATGTGACTCCGCTGTATTGCCATTCTCGACGTGAAATATCGTACGTAATAATGCTTTTTTTTTTCTTTTTTCTTTCCTTCCGAGTATACCTCGTAAGTGGATTGCGGATATTTATGAGTATAAAGACGTAGAACCTGTGTGCGTGTGTGTGTGTTTTGTTTTGCTTGATAAATAAATGTGTATACAACGAGTATTTTCGCGTCTTCTCGGGAAACAGAGAACAGAGGTTTTTTAGAACGTGTCTTCCGCCGCAGGTCAAAGGTTCAACGCTGCTTGCATTAACTAAGAATTTCCGCTAAGCAAATATTTCTGCTAAGCTAAATGGTTCTGCTTTCGCGAATTTATCGCGCTGCCGGATAATGAGATGCTAAGAATTTTTCCAAGTTGCGCGAAGGATGCTCGAACAACATGTTGATCAAACATGTGAATTTTAATGAAATTTTAATAAATCCCAATGTATTAAAGTTGTTGCGGAAAACACGAAAACGTCCTTCCAACATCTGACCTTACAATCAGTACAATATGCCATTCGAAGATTGAAATAAATTTGTCGAGAGAACGCCAAAAGTAGTAGAGGATGTACTGACAAACAAAGGAGGATCTTTTTTTTTTTAATAAACACGTAGAATACATTACAAATTATATATCTACGACCGTGTTTTTTCCCTTAAAGGAGGATCTTTTTTTTTTTTTAATAAACACGTAGAATTACATTACAAATTATATATCTACGACCGTGTTTTTACCCTTATCTCAAAATTTTTTTATTTAACCAGTATCTATAGACTATAGTATTTGGATATTATACAGAGAGTGTTTTAAATATAATTTTCTTCCAAGCTTCTACGAAGTAAGATAGCAGCGTTCTCCTTGTCATTCACCTATAGATTTTATTAAATTAAAGTTGAAACTAGTGATTCTAAACTAGTAACAAGTTTTCGACGTACATAAAAGTGCATTTCTATATAGAGAATGTCAAGCTGCATCGATTAATGCGTGAAAGAAATGTACGATTCCATTTGAAAAGGAGGATATGACCTTGACATCTACATCTAGACAAATTCCAGACAATAAGAACACAATAAGCTGACGAATGTTTGATTATCGCGTTTGACTTATCGCCCCGTAGAGCGCGCCATACTGCATGAGGAAGGACTCGAGCGAGAAGCTGACCGGAAACGCACAGTTCGAGGGCTACAGCCTCGACTTGATTTACGAGATATCAAGGATCCTTGGTTTCAATTATACGTTCAGTCTGGTGCCGGACGGACGGTACGGCTCCTTCAACAAGGGGACGAAAGAGTGGGACGGAATGATGAAAGAGCTGCTGGATCAGAAGGCGGATCTGGCGATCGCGGATCTGACCATCACGTACGATCGGGAACAGGTGGTCGACTTCACCATGCCGTTCATGAATCTAGGTGAGCGATCTGTTTGATCTACGACCCTGCGAGCCTTGTTCATCTTCAATTCGACTGAATTGATTCGACTTTGCATGCAAAGGGATGATTCGGGACGATTCTTCGAGGTTTTCGAGAACTTTGCACCGTCCTTTCAGTTTGAATTTTCCAGTGGGAAATTTCGAAACTCGAACGGACGAAAATTGAACGAACGGGTAGTTTGAATTTGGAGCTTTTGAAAACTCTTGACACTAGAATTACCGAGGCGTGAAATTTGTTACAGTAAATGAAGCACGCAAACTTTATTTCCATATTTTTTTTTTGCGAAAAATCGTTCAAATCTTTAGTAACATGTTGAACAGAGTCATTAATTTCGTAGTCGATTATTGTGTAAGGATTAAATTAAAATTAAACTTCAAAAATTTAGAATAATCAGTTGTAAAAAATATGCGACTGTAAGAATATTTATTATAAATATTTACATCGATTATATTGATATATAACTAAAAATCAAATGAAGATTAGAAATTAAGCGTATACTTTTACTTCACACTCCGTTTACATCTTGCAAAGTTTCCAACGACAATTGCAAATTGGCCATTTTGCGCACGTTGGTAGTTCCGGTGTTAAAATAATTTTTCGAAAGCTCTGCACGCAGGCGTAAATTTCCTTTATTTTAAAGCATGCCTTTCTTTCTTCGCCATACACTCGAACTTTACAGTGGATTTACATGTGTGATCTGCAATTTACAGGGATCAGCATACTGTACCGTAAACCTATAAAGCAGCCGCCAAATCTGTTCTCGTTCCTCAGCCCGCTCAGCCTCGACGTTTGGATTTATATGGCGACAGCTTATCTAGGCGTCTCGGTGCTGCTTTTCATACTCGCCAGGCAAGTGAATCCATCTTACCAAGCCCTGATAAAAATATTGTGCCAACATCGGTGAAATTTCGCAAACGTATTGTTCGATCGGAGAACAAATCTCTGTTAACCTAATACGCTAACATTTATCCCTCGATTACACTTTTGTCTCGGATGATCGTGGGAGAATCTTTTGTCTAAAAAATTTTCACAATGGACTGTCCATCGTCCACGAAAAGTAATGGTAAATCGTACGACTGAATTGAAAGTTGAAAATAAAAAAAAAAAAAAAAATACCTCTCGTACAATATTGACTCGCCAGTCTGATCGTTTTCGCGCATCGAACACGCCTGAACCGAAAGGCACGGCGTACGTGTTCAATAGATAATTTTGGTAGATGAACGCCACAGGAGTTATTAGCGATCACATCCTCGATAAACTCGGTGTATTCACCTCTGTAAACAGACGTCGCGTTATTACAATGATATTGATTGCAGAAGTAGAATTTCTGCCGCACGTTCGCCGATAATATATGGATGCAGCGTGCAGGCATTTAACTCTCGGTGACTCGTGAATATACATGCATCTCTCTCTCTCTTTCTCTCTCTCCCTCTCATCCTCTTTCAAAGGTACATAGAAACTCTAATTTCACGGTCGAACACGAACGCGCGAGTCCGGTTACGCGGAACAAAAGTAACAACGTGCATACATATACGTATGTACATGTGTGTACGTGAGATCGGCACGAACGAAGGAAAGGAACAGACGTATTACACGCCGACTTGTCGCATTCCGTTCGGTCTTGTTTTTTCACTCCCCCCCCTCTGTCGACACGGTCAATCTTCGTACGTAAATGGCGAACGATCCGCGACACGGAGGGCAGACGCGTCCACGCTAGAAGAAGGAAAGAAGGATCAGACTGTTGTCTAGAGTTGATCAGTTTAGATTCACCCCGTACGAGTGGTACAATCCTCATCCGTGCAACAAAAACCCGGACCATCTGGAGAATCGCTTCAAGCTGCTCAACTGCATGTGGTTCACCATCGGATCCTTAATGCGGCAGGGCTGTGACATTCTGCCCAAGTAAGCCGTTAGATTGGCATCACTTTGGGTCGCTTGATCATTTCCTTTTTTCTCTCTCTCTCTCTCTCTCTCTCTTACCCTTTTTTACTTCTTCCTCTTTGTTTCGAAATCTCGTTTTACTTTTCACTATCCCCCCTCCCCCTTCTCTCGTAATTTTATTTATTATTTATCACTCGTTCTGTTTTTGCGTTCTCGTTCTAGCTGGTTTCGTTGTGTATTCGATCTAGAGATCTCACGTTGTTCCCCACGGCCATCGAGCAACGTGCCGCCGACTGAACGCATGTAAATCGAGAGCGATGACTACGTAACCGACGATCCACTTTCGTAACGATTTACTTGCCCCGTGTCCCACGAACGTACGGCCAAACGCGCGACGCACAAACGACCGAGTTCGCCTCCGCCCCACCCCGGAGGACGAACAACGGATGAATTATTCAGCGGAACGATTTCGTGAAACCGCTTTCAGCTGGCCCACTGGGGATCGGTTGTTTCGGGTTACGCGGTCGTTCCCCACTCCTGTATTCGACGACTGTCGCTTCCCGACCGGAAGTTCGGGGTCCACAGTTCGATACGTGTCGCCGGAAATTGGAGGTTTTTTTTTTCCAGGGAGAGGTCGCCGGCCATCTAATGTTAACGAATGTCGGAGAGAAGATTTATACAGAAAATTTCCCGTGTTCTTGTAACCTGTGTGTGGACAGCGTTGTTTCTAAGCGTGGCTCGATTGTACCGACAAAGTTTGAAATTGTCTGGCAATCTCTCCTTAACGTGGCACCTGGTACTTGTAGATTTTGTGAATGAATGTCGATTAACGAGTGGGCAACGATCCTCAGAGTCGTAACTGCGTTTCCAGACGAAGGCGTGAGGGGGGAAAAAAAAAAAGAATGAATTAAGAGACTCTCTCATTCGCATTTCATTCGATTTTTTTTGATAATGTTTTGATAACACGGGGTGGATCAAAAATCACTTCCTACTGAAATAAATCCGTAATTTTTTTAATGACAGATTTTTGGAACGTAATGAAATTATGTTTGAGTTTAAATTTAATTTAAAATCAATAAAATTAGTTTGATGTTTTATTAAAAAAAGAAAAAAAAAAGGAAAGATAAGTGGGAAGAAGCTTCTGGTCCACCCCGTATAATATTAATTTAGGATGGCCACGATAGAAACTATGATTTCCCGAACGTTCAAATTTTCATTTAAGAACGCCGTCTCTTAACAACAGTAATCAAACGCCAGCGAGAAAAGGCAAAATGTTTCTTCAAGAAAGAACTGACCAAGAAAAAGAAGAAAAGGAAAAATGCAAAACGGTGGTAACCTTAATGTCACCTTAGAGCTTCCACCTAAATCTCTTTCGCCAAAATCCTCCGCAAAGCCGAGGTGTACGCCGTGCAAGGAACGTGTTCCCGTGTAATTCTGAAAACAGAAGAACCATTTCAGGCTAAAGATAAAGTTTCACGTGAGTCACCGGTGCAATGTTGCTATTCTCAAAATTTTGCAAAGAAGTCGACATTACCTTATAATTGTCAAAGTCTACGTCTACGAATTGTTTCTGAAACATTCACGCATCACAAAACTGTGGAAACGTAATTTCAAAGACTTCTTTATTCCAAAAAAAGATCACTTGCATTTGAAATTCACTTTATCTCGTATCTTATAGATTCGTACAATGCAATTCGCGATGCTTTGTTCGTTTTTCTTTTTTCTTCGTATTGGATATCTTGTTACTTTAATTGTTAATTGTCAAAATCTATAGAGCAAAATAATTACTATTATTTATAGACAAATGAAATTTATGTAGAACAACTTCTTTATTCGAAAAAAAAGGATTACTTGCAATTAAAATTCGCTTCACCTCGTATCTTATGCAATTCGCGATGCTCTATTCGCGAACAAACATTTGTTCGCTTACGGTACCTTGTGCCTTAATAGCACGAACACACTTGAACACATAATGCCATGGTTATACGTTCGCTGTATTAGGAAGTATGCTACCAGACGGCAATGATGTATATGTATTTAAGCGTTAAACCCGCAGCTCGGTACATTGTTACGCCATCAATTGGTCTCCCTTCGGTCTGACCAGCACCCTCACTTTGTTGACTTTTGGAATGGCTTGGTAGGCTAGGTTAACAGTCCAAGAGAGTAAGAGACCGCCATCGATTCGCCAATTAATTCAATGTCTACATTCAACATGTTTCATATAAAGCCAGGAAGCCTCGATATTAAATTAGGATTTTTAAGCAAAACTTGTCGACGAGATTTCACACTTCAAACACCAAATGTTTACACATTTCTGTTTATTATGTACTGTGATAACGACACATATCTTTGATTTCCATTGTGTAAAATTCAAAAGATTCAAATAATCGTGGAAACGAACTCTCAAAATTGGATGGATCGTGGAATCGAAGTAACGAAAGTGCTTGGATTCAGTGAACTTAATTTATTTAATTAAACGATGCGACAAAACCAACTTGATGTCGTTGTAAAACTCGAGATCTCTGCTTTCGTATTCTTAAGTTCATTTTTCGCGAAGAAGATTTTACGTCAGCTCCCTTTGAAAATTTCAAAATTCAAATATTCTTAAAAGTGAAAAATTTTCTACGTGACTGGATCTACCATAGCAATGAGCTCTTGAAATTCGCTGTACGATTTTATCGAACCTGGAACATTAGATGACATTAGGTGACGAAACAAACCTAATACTGAATGTTTAATGAAATAGTGAAAAAAAGTCGTTCAAAGATCGATAGAAAACTTGGAAATAATGATAGATCTAGATACATAAAAAAAAATTTTTTTAACGTATACGCATTTGAATTTTGATAAAATCATCTTTGAAAAAAACAAAATCGCGACTGTCAAAATAGAAGCTTCATGTTTTTGAAGCGTATCGTCATACGATCTTTTCTCACAATGTTATATCATACAGTTATACTCTTCACTGTATGTATTTATAAGAAACTGCAAAAACTATGCGAAATATTCGAGGCACTTGCTGTCGATGAGGCCCGTGGTACGGCACGCGTGTTGCGACTCTGAGGTCTAATCCTCTCCCTTCTCCTTTCACGTGTCTGCAGGTTCAGCCCCTACGAGTGGGAGAATCCCCATCCGTGCAACGGACAGTCCGAGGTCCTCGAGAACGAGTTCACCCTGATGAACTCGCTCTGGTTCACCATAGGCTCGCTCATGCAGCAAGGCTCTGATATAGCGCCGAAGTAAGTGAAACGAAGAGAACACCGAAGCCAGCTAAACAATCTAACATATACGCATCTGATCTCTCGGTTTTAACTAATCGCAAAATGCAAATATACGTAAGCCGTTTCCGTTACGAACATAACCGCGGCACCGGGACCGGGCACGAAAGGGAACTTTCGAACTTTCAAGAGAAAGAAACGTCTGCCGCGACGAGCTACTGATCCTCGCGACTCATTTAACCCCTTGCGCTGGCAACTGATTGGCGCGGACCATAACGAGTGACCGAACCGTATACAACAATTTCGTCGCTTTCTTTTTCATTTGAACTCGTCGGATAGAAATAATCAAGAAGTAACAAACTTGTCATTTGTTTCGCCGCCGGGTTACATTTAAATATACTTGAAACTGAGAAGAATGTTGCAATTTGAAAAAAAGTACTCGACGTGCGTGGCACGTCATTCCAGCGCAAGAGGTTGATAGAACGAGAAGTGGTAGAAGTTTAGCCGGGCGAGGAGAGGACGAGATTCGGGGCCGTAGGTGAAACCCAATGTCATGTAACGATAGCCTTGATATGCTATATCGTAGGCTTGCTGCAACCGATCACGTTCGCGTATCGAGAACTTGCCGGCGTGCTTTGCTGTCGCTAGAGCGCTACCGCGTCTCGCGTCTCGTCGACAAAAGACCGCCCACGAACACGACCACGACCACGACTACAGTTTAGTTTCGTCGAAGTTGTTGCTGCTCCTCGGAAGAAGCTGATACACCGTCGAGTAACTGGGCAACTCTCCGTCGACAGAACGAGGGCTTCGAGCCACACCGATAGCTTCCAAGGACAGAGATCGTTGCAACGATCCCTTCTCGTTGCGACGATTAGCGGTCGCTTCTCGGAGAGAGAATCGAGAACGTTTTGTTCTCGGGTGATTGGATTAACGAGGCGAAATTGGCGTTAGGTCCGACGGAAGCAGCAACAACCTCATCGCATCGACACTCTCATCCAACACTCTCACTGTCGATCATCACGAATGATCATCGTTCGTTGTCCGAAACTTCCTACGATACGGCCCCCTATCCTCGGTTATCGTAGTCTCTCTTTTTTATCCCGGTTTAATCGTTGTTGTCCGTAGAGTTGATGAAGAGAAGATTGTTTTGAAACTGCATGAGACGTTGCAACGTAGACGCTTGATGTGTACAATGTGTTTGTTATCTTTTATGCACTTAGATATTAAGTTCGTTCGAACTTTTTTTCAGCCAACTCTTTCATGATTTTTTGGATGTACCAAGTCCTCTCGAGATCGCGAAGATGTGTAATTCGAAACTCGCGGAACATGATCCAGAGTCTTTGTTACGCTCGAAGCGCTGCGCGTACTTGAAACTTCGCTGCGCGCGTACATACGTTCGAGGATCAAATCCTCCCGCGAATACGACGGTTTTTTTTAAATTTTCTCGCGTAGTTTCGTAGAGTCGAGAGGCTCGAAAGCCAGTGCGAAGTACCGACTGCACCGCCTGAATTCTTTTTCCGCAGGGCCGTGTCAACGCGCATAGTGGCGGGCATGTGGTGGTTCTTCACTTTGATCATGATTTCTTCGTACACTGCCAACTTGGCCGCGTTCCTCACCGTCGAGAGGATGGATTCGCCGATCGAGAGCGCCGAGGATCTCGCAAAGCAGACGAAAATTAAATACGGGGCTCTCAAAGGAGGCAGCACTGCCGCCTTTTTCAGGGTAAGATCAGATTTAAAAAAAAAAAAAGAGAGAAAAGAAACTAACAGCAAAACCCTTTTTAGTAAGACACACTGCGGCTCAAATCTAACGATTGCAATTTACGTGGAGACAGAATGATCAAAAAGTTGCTCTGATATGACTGATTTAATAACCACTAATCGTAAAATAATCGCACTTTTGATTATAATTCGACAATACTATGTGTATCTTGTAGAAGCTATATACTTGTTATTTGCATTGTTGCACGATCCTACAATTCTATCAGGAAAATGTTCCATCAATGTAAAGTCTCAGTTGTATAATTGTTGAGTCGTTAATCTTTCGTACAACTTGAAAAACTGTACTCGAACGATCAAAATTTTTGAAACTTTAAAAATTTTATAAACTTTAAAAATTTTTCCAAACAATACGAATACTATTATACAGCAAAGAATACAAATCTCAGTATCTACTATTCGAATAATAATAACGTTCAGTAACGTTCAGTAACATTGAACATCACGACGCGATTATGGCAATATGAAGAAATAATCAATCACATAACAGATAAATTAATCACGCAATGATTAAAACAATTACCGATCAATGATTGCACATTGCAAAAGTTGATCAAGATTACTGGCTTATTTTGACAGTGATTAATTGATTAACCATGATTATTATTTAGTTAATTGATTTGAGAATTGATGCGAGAATTTTCTCAAAAAGCGTGCATAGAGTCACTAGTTCGTTAATCCAAAGTACTTTAAAGAATCTTCGGAAGATGAAAGATCTTGGCAGCTGGTAGGTCTGTCAACAATAAATTACTATTAAATTAATGTAATTGTACATCACGCAGCCATGTGTTTCATCACGACGTCGAGATTTTATAGAGAAAATAAGCCGCAGGTAGATCGGAGAGGGAGAACGTAGTCTCGCGAGAAACGAGAGGCGGAGAGCGCGTGTTGCTTGAGAAAACATCGCGGCCATTACTTAACGCTAATTCTCGTTTAATTTCGGTATTATGAAACTTTATTGCAACAGATTACGCCGCGGCAGGAGAAAGAAACCCCCGGCAGCCAGAGCGCCCGCGTTTTCTACAAATTTGTTGCCTTAACTTTTTTTATTAACTCATCCGCCGCCGCGTTAAGGAAACGATACATTATAAACGTTCTTCCCCTCCTTTTAAAACGAGATCGCGAACACTAATTACTGTTTCTTAACTCTACACGGTAACGTTGTAATTTACGGCGGTTGATCTTCAAGCGAGGAGGGGAATCGCGTATCGTAACGTATCGATTGTCGTCGCGTGATTTCTGAAACCGTGGTGAAACCGCGCCGCGGTCGTAATAGGCCTCCTTGAAGATTAACCAATTTCGACCGACGTTCCATCGTTTAATAGCGCGCGCGTGCTCAACCATGAAATTCCTCGCGTGATCCAGGATTCCAATTTCTCAACGTACCAACGCATGTGGTCCTTTATGGAGTCGGCAAAGCCGACGGCATTTACAACGAGCAACGTCGAGGGTGTTGAACGAGTGATCAAGGGGAAAGGCAGCTACGCGTTCCTAATGGAATCCACCTCCATCGAATACGTAATCGAGAGAAACTGTGATCTTACTCAAGTCGGCGGCCTCTTGGACTCCAAGGGATACGGCATCGCCATGCCGCCAAGTAAGTGAGACGCGCTAATATTTTAATCGATCCCCACGGTGAAACAGCGTAATTATTCAGCAAACGACGACGATGAAACGTTGTCGATAATTTACAAACCGGCATAACCGTGCGAAAGGAAACCGCAACGATCCCGTAGCTCCGACCCACGAGTTTCTTTTCGAAGTGATGTTGCAAAGTCAACATTCAAACGTTCAACATTCAATTCACCTGTTATCTTGAAGGCTGAAGTCTCTTCTTTGCAACGAGACCTCTTCAGACTTGTACGATTTTTTACTGAACGTCGAATGACAAAAATTCAACAAGTTCTGACAATTTCGTCATTTTTAATTTAATGTTCAAAGTTCGGTGAATATAGGTTTGATTGCTTTCAGATACGTTTGAATTTTCACAGTTTTCGAGAAGAAATAATGTAGAAAAATGTCGAAGATGGTTAAATTATAAAATGGGATCAAGTGGGTAATCAGTATAAATTAGAAGTTAGCTACAAGTTACGTTAATATCGACAATTTTTCATTGTTATCGGTGCAGAATATACTATATGCAAGATTAGTGTCACTTAATGTTGCTCACGGTTACTGAAAAACAGTACAGAATATTTACATGTTTCTAGAATTTAAAAAAAAACCTAAAGATCTTGCCCGAAAGTTTCAAATAATATCGCGATCCGCAGCTGAGACGTATAAACTCGTCGGTTGGATAGAGTGCCAGCCGATTACGGCGCGGTCGAATAATTTGCGACGCGAGATAGAGACTGATCAACGCGTATATCCTTGATTTATGGTTCCGCCCCGTAAACGGGCGTCGAATCGGAAAGATAATTTTTCACGCTCGCCCCCGTGGATTTATGGGGGAATTAGAAAGACATCGGTCAGCGCTCGTTCGTAGGAGTTCCGACCGATTTATGGTGAATATTTCACGAAACGCGAGGAACGCTGATCAACTGTTTAGCCTTAATGGCCTCGGCAACGGGTGAAACGTGAAAGATGACGAGGCCTTGGACGTACGTTGGATCGTTTTAATCATTTAATCGAGCCGCGCTCGGATCAACTCTATAAATTGAACGCGGAAGAGGAAAGTAATGACACTATCTCCGCGAATTTGTTCGCGACAGTAAACCTGTTTCCACTTGACAATTAAAACTACGATTGTGTAATAGTTCAGCTCGGCTGTCGAGCGACGAGTTGCAATGCGAATTAGAAAAAAAGAAAAAGAAGAAAAAAAAGAAAGAACGGGGCGCAACGTCATTTTTCTCTGTTTTCAATTTACGGAGTTGATCGATGCGGTTTTTCGAGCGGTTCGAATAATATCTGCCTCGCCGCGAAGAGAGTGTGAAAGAGAGAGAGAAAAAAATAAAATTCCTCCATCGTTTCGGAGCAAACAAATTCCATTGCACAAGCCCGGAAAGCAAAAACAGACCAAAATTCCATTCGATTCAATGGCGCCGCAGTTACCGTAGTCGCGACTTCCTACCTAGAGCGGCGCGAACGATCTCAAAACTCGACAACGTTCCGCCGTCTCTCTTATCGCAACTCGGAGTCCTTGAGTGGCGAATTCCAACGGGGATGGGAGCGAAAACGTGGGGGTGTTGAACACGATCGCGACGTTTCCTATGCGACGCGAGAACGATAACAGCAAACGATTACGCTCTCTCACGGTGGGAAATATCTCGCGCGCGATAAAAGCCGACTGGTTGGAACGTTGGGGAACGCTGCTCAGAACGACCTTGAAACTTCAGACTCGCCGTACAGAACGGCCATAAGCGGGGCGATCCTGAAGCTGCAGGAAGAAGGGAAGCTGCACTTGCTGAAGACCCGCTGGTGGAAGGAGAAACGCGGCGGAGGATCATGCAGGGTGAGCGTGCACACACGATCCCGGCTTACTCTTACTTTTACTCTCTCTCTCTCCCGTCCCGATCCGAAGAACTCGATGAGCGTACGCTCGAAAATTCTGATCTCCTCGAGGGCGCATTACGCTCCGGCGAAATGCACGACGGTGGTTTCAGAAGGGATAGACGGACCGTGAAGGGGAAGACAGTTTCATAAATTCGTGAAATCACGGCCGCCAGGGGGCCATTACGCGGCTATTATCTGCCGCTGCTACGTTCCGCTCCGATGAATTCTCGCGACGAATTCGTCCTGTAATTTGTCGGCTGAAACCATTGTCGTTACGTTGCGCAACGATCGAGGATTTCGGAAAGTTTTCTGCTTCTTTTCTTACGATAACGATGACTCTCTGTCATGGATTCGAAGTAGAGCCATTGCTCATGAGCGGACTGTGGATTATTTATGGAAATACAATCGTATTTTTATGATTAGATATTATTGCGTATATTATTCGTATTTTTATGATTAGATATTAGATATTAGTTAATTATTGCACAGAGTATTGCACTTTGGATGTTTTATACTCTTTTGTATGTTGCGTGCATTCCGTGCGTTTCAAATTTCTTAGAAATGCCCAAAAATCCGTAGTCTACTCAAGAGATGTCTGAGTAAACCAAAAATTATCCGGAAGATAATTGACTACTGAGAGTGTATTATTTCTGTTCATATTACAATGTAATTTGTATTTTAATGATAAATGGTAAAACATTGAACTACTTGGCATTTTTACAAAAATACTGATAAATCTAGATTTTCCAATAGCAAACTCATTCTCTCTTGCACTAACAAATACTTGCAAAGTTGTGGAAAATACTCCTTCAGGCCACACATAATTCAAACGTTGCTGGTACACATACTTTTTACCAAGCTTTGCCAATCTTGGATATTTTTTTCTCAGCTTCACCGCCATTCTAGCGGACATAAATTATAGTTTGTTTTATTACTTGTCGCAAAGACAGAAATTATACAAATATCAGACGAAGTTACACTCAAGTATTCAGATAACACTAGCCTCAATTATCTCATGGCTAACTTGGATCTTCGAATATCTGTACAAATCCCCCTCAATAAAAGTTCGAATTTTGAAATTTCCCTGATTTCACGAACATTCGGCTTTAGAAAAGAGAGAGAGGGAAAGAGTCGATTTAAAAATTGAAGAGAAACAAGGTTTCGAAATTAATTGCAACCATAGTGCTCGCGCGAGTCTTTAAGTCGCCATGTAGTCACGTTGCCTGACGAGTGGCTGCCGTTTTCTGTGAACAGGACGACACGTCGAAGAGCAGCTCGACGGCGAACGAGCTGGGCCTGGCGAACGTCGGCGGCGTGTTCGTGGTGCTGATGGGCGGCATGGGCATCGCTTGCGTGATCGCTGTGTGCGAGTTCGTGTGGAAAAGCCGGAAGGTCGCCATCGAGGAACGGGTGAGTGAGGTCAGATAGCACGTCGAAGAGGGCGCGATCGCGCCTCAAGTAACGTCGTCCAACACGCACCTCGATCCCGACGCCATCTATCCCGACATACCGCGCGAATACATCAGTTGATGCTCGCGCGATGGTGGAGTTCCTCTTTAATGGTCACGGTGCGGCCACAAAACCACACGGGTCTGATCGTCTTCTCGCTGTGATCGATGGAATCACGAAGCTCTGGAGGGGGAGGAGAGAGAAAAAAAAAAGCACCACCACCACCGGCATCGCGAGGCGTCTTTGTCCCTCAGACTGGATTCTGTCCTATTACAATTGTTTGCGGCTCCGGGTACTAGAGATAAGGTTGATTGATAGCGCCATGTTGATTCGCCATTCTCGCGTCCGTTCTTCCTTCGTTTCCCTTCGTCGCTTTTCACTGCCTCGAAGAAGCGCAGGACGCCCGTAGAGATAACTGAAAAGATATCGGACGGGTCGTGAAGCGTCTTTGTTCCCGGAGACAGTAATTATTCACCGAAGTTGCGACGCTAATTTGATACCCCGCCCTTTGCGACGCGCGCTTCCATTGACGCGAGTTTACTTCCAACGGAGAAGTCGCTTCGTTGTCGGCGATTGGCTCGACGCTCGACTTGCTCGATCGTTTCGATTTCGTGGCACTCCGTGGGAACGAAACAGCAGGGGTCAGCGTCGATGAAAACGCAATTTTGCCGGTAGTAAAATAGGTTGCGAGAATTTCTATTATGACCGGTCGCCGCGTTGTTTTAATAGTCAATTCCCGCGGTTATTCGCTAAATGAAATTTCATTGCTCGGCAATCGTGTCGATCCGCGGACATATTTTCGGGGGGAAAAATAATGGTCGGGCGAAATTGAATAAAAATTGAACAAATATCGGTGGCGAACTCCGAAATTGTACTGGAATTGTTTTAGTTGAACGACGAAGTTAAGCGATAAAATAATAATGATAATAATAAGTATCAACCCTTATCACTTAAATCAATTGATCACTATTGATTTAAGCGGTAAGAGTTATTATTATTATTTTATCGCTTAACTTCGTCGTTCAATTAAAACAATTCTAGTACAATTGGAGTTCGCCTCCGATATTTGTTCAATTTCTGAGTGACCTAAGACACGCGTGCCACGTGTCTGAAAATTTTTGTATAACAACTCACAAAAGATGACGTTACTGCAATATGTAAAATCAATTATTCGTTTTTTTTTTTTTTTACGAATTCATTTTTTTCATCGCTCGTTACGCAGTCTATAACTTCTCCTCATTTTATCGTAATGGCACTTTCTTTCTTTCATTCAATCGAAGCCACACGAATTCAAGAAACAATTTTGTGATCCAGAGATTAAAGATACTTGTTGCAATTGTCACGCAGATACAGATAAATGCAGACTAATCTGTACACAGCTGAAAAAGCGAAAAATAATCATTTGATCACATTTTCTTTTATCTTCTCAACATATTTGTAAATTGATAACGTGAACAAGTCACATGAAATTGATTTTGTGAATCACTGGCACGTAAAAAGATTCGCCACGAACTGTTGTCTGATCGCGATTTACAAGATGGACGACTCGGTGAACGACGAAAGAAAATTTCCTCTCGAGCAGGATCGAGAGAGAGAGAGAGAGAGCAATGAAATTAAGTCGCAGGCTTGGCGAAACTCGAGCGGAAAACTCGCGTGTCTACAATATGTATTCGAGCTGCCGTTTGCGTACGTTCAAGCGGTAGGCAAACAGGCAAGTATTTGAGAAGGGCTCGTCCACAAATACGGATATGCTGCAGCTTTGCGCCGGTGACCTCGCGTACCCGTGAGCAAACAATTCCGTCAGCCAACAAACGTCTGGTATTGCTGTTCTCCTTCGGAAGCGCGCTACTTCAGACCGCAACAGAGTAGCCGCGATAGCCGGCACGAAATCTCAAGCTGCTAATCGCTTTACGCGGCCGCGAATCGGCCGATCGAGCATCTCGATATCGCCGTAACTCGTCCTTCAGCCTTTTCTCTTTAATTACGTGTATACTCTTGAATTTACGAACTCTCGGAAGTGACGAAGCGAAGGTGAAACGCTCCTCCCTTTCTCGTTGACAACGTTCGTTCGAGAATTTCGAGTCTTGGAAAATTAACGCGCGACCTGATGGAACAGCGTTATGAATCTGTTTGCCGAAGGACGCTGAAAGAATTGCGAGAGAATTTAGGGATAATTGACGAGAGCCAGAGGGAAAGTAGCCTGTAACGTCGTAACAAGGTGTAGCTTAATTGAAGCGTGCTACGTTTCCGACGTTACGCTAGACGTGATAATTTATGTCAACGAGATCTTCTCAGCGAGCCAGTCTCAATTTTAGCTTAATTAAAAGTTCCGTCGTGCTTTCTTTATGCTGCAGCTTGATTCAATTTCTGGGCAATATCTTGTTTACGAATTAAATCCGAGAAAGCTTGGCAGAACTTTTCGAATGAAGAAATTAATAATTTCTCTCCTCTTTCATTATTATTCTTTTTAGTCGTGTGTTTGTTGTTCTTCTCTCGATTTTTCGTCTGTTGATACCTTCATTGAACTATTATCTCATTAATTCAAGACGAAAATTGTTTTTACCTCCGGCTTGACGGGAGAACACGAGCAAAAAAAAAAAAAAAAAGTTCAGAGTCAGAAATTGTCAATAAACTTCGCAATTACTCTGCCAATAATCTTCTATCCCCCCGATAAAATTCAATTTTCAATTCGACGGACTTTATCGGGTTTCTCATTTTTCATTCCGCCGCGCTCCACCGAGCTTCAGCTTATATTTATACCAACGACTCGTTCGTTTATTCCCGGGGTCTTCCCAAGTGGGGAACTGTCGTTACCGCCGTTCCGAGTTCATTTTTCTTATCAAGGAAACAAAAATGCTTCGCGTGTACCGCGTCGGTCCGATTAATCGATCTCCTATATCATCTAACGCAATCTTACCCGAGCATTTTCGTGTTCTGTTTTAGAAGCAGAAATCCTCGGGGAAACCGATCTGCGAAGCTTTTACCGATCTACACTAGCGGACGATCCTGTAGGGATTCGTTCGCGAACCAAAGATAAAATAGAAACGAGCCAAACAAACAAATAAAAAAGAAAAAAAAAAAAAAAAAAAAAAAAAAAAAAAAAAAAAAAGAAAAGAGAAAAATCAAACGAGACCAAAAAAGGCTCGTGGAGAGAGAGAGAGAAAAAGGAGAGGACGCGAGGAGAATGAAGCAAGAGGAAGAGAAGAGAAACCAACGGTGGACAGAAAGTGGAAGAAGCGTGGAGAACGAAGAGAGGACGATCGGCAGGGGCAAGAAAGAACGTCTCGTCGTCGTGTCACCGCACTCAATAACACGCGGGTAATCACGATTTAATGGCTCAATAACATCTGCCACAGCGTCCTGCCACGGACCCACGAAACAATTTATCGGTCCCGCCAGTCAATAAATTCAGCTTTTGAGTTGTATACGGGAGCGGGAGCGCGAGCGCGCGCGCCCGTACGCTTAAATCTCCGAAGCGGACGCATCGAATTCGGGGAGAGACGAATCCGAAAATGACGCGTATAAATTACGCCGGAGGATAAATATTCGCTTGGACCCCGGGCCCGTTCCGTTCCATCGCGCGTCTCGTCCGAGCACCGTCACCCATCCTTCTTCCTCGGTTTCGCCGCGCCACGAAATTTATACGACGCGCGTACCACTGTACACGTTCCACTGTCGATAGCAAGGTTTCGTTACGTTACGTTTTGTTTCGTTTCGTTTCGTTTCGGGTCGCCGAGGGTGAAAACCGCGCCTTCACCGTTTCGTGATAGATCGCGTTGGCTCGTTAATTGAAACGGACGAGTTTACTTTTACTATGGCCAAAACGTAACTGCGTTTTTTTTGTGTGTGTATGTGTGTGTGTGTGTGTGTAAATGAAAGACAAACAACAACTTTGTTAATATATTGAACATTTCTTTTTCGTATACCTCTCAAGCAACTTCGCGATTCCATATTCGAGATAGTTCCTGTCTCTGACAGTGAAATATAACAAACTAGTTTTGACTATTACTGTCGTAATTTCGAAGGCTTTTTCACATTTAGATTATATATTTTTCACGAGCTTCTTTATGCACCGTGTTTATTTCCTTTTCGGAGATTGTACGAGACGAATTTTGTGTTCCTTTTTCAACTTACATTTTGAAATCGACGTCGTGCGTTTTCTTTCTCTCTTCGCGCAACGAATCTACGGTTAGTTACACTTTAACACGTATATGTATAAGAATAAAAAAAATCGGACAAAATTAATTTCCAACCAATCCAATTAGCGGACTGATGTATTAAATTGATCGGAGCGTTTAAAGATAAATATTCGACGAGAGAGAAATTTGCTGTCTCGCATCAATTGTTACATTTCACTTCATGCTTCAATTCGAACAATAAACTGATGTATCTTGCAAAAGTTACAGGCATCGTCACAAACCATGTTAGGTTACCAATACGTTCGCACAAGATTTTTCAGATCTTACAATATCTTCGAATATCTCATTGAATCGAAATTTCATCTGCAACGAGCGAAATTCCACTGTACTGCAAGTTCAAAAATTAATTAATTAATTAGTTTCTAAACTGAAGTGCGTCCACTTTCGGCATAATGCAAACAGGCAACGTAAGCAAGCACTTATTTCTCGGATATATACTGCTCGCAAAAGGTGATATTTGCATTGGATATTGCAAGAAGCATTTGATTTTTTTTTTTATCAAACAAGAACATCAGAAAAGCAAAAAAAAAAAAAGTAGAAAAATCAAATGCCTCCTTTGTTTTCATTTTGATATATCCCCTAACTTTTGCGAGCAGCGTATGTCTTAGGTATGTACAATTTCCGACACAGCGTTGCAGTTTCATTGAAACCGCGTGCGCGAAACGATGTTTATATAAACGGCGATTCACGGCGTATTTCATGCGTTACGTTCATATCCTGCGTTCATTTTACGACGGCGATAGTGAACAGCGGAGCCGTTCGTTAAATCCGAGGCGGATATAAACCGGCGTTATAACGGCCGGCAGTTTCTCAAACGCGAAAGACGAGGCAAAACGGGTCATTGGCGGCGGAATCATTAACAGCTGTCGCCAGTTTCGATACTACCGGCTTGGCAAAGCCAATCAATAGAAGCCACGATTTTATTCTTTATTGGCCTGACTTGCTACGACGAGCGTTGAATTTTCCAACGACTCGTTTCTTAGTTCGTCAACGTAAGCGTGAAACAATATAGGAAACAACGTAGGCTGCCGATGGTATCAAAGGTTTAACGATAGATAGATTCGAGAAATAAATTAGGCTGTTTCTCTGGGTTGAGAAATTGATTAACTGCTGACAAATTGATTTGTCGTGTTCTTAGAAAATTTGTCAAATGCAACGACGTTAATCGTAATTTATTAAATCGAAACAGGAGAGAATGCTATCGAAAGTTCAACGATAGATAGACTCGAGGAATAAAGTAGACCACGTCTCCGGGTTGGGAACTGTTAAAAAATTAATTAACTATCAAGAAAATCGTTGTTCTTGCAAAATTTATCAAATACAGTGACACGTTTATTAGTTCGCCAATCGTGAAATAATATAGGAAACAACGTAGGAAAT